GAGTCGTCCGGCCGCGGCGCGCGCTCCGACAGCTTGGGGGACGTCTTGTCGGCCGGCTCCGCCTCCCACATCTTGCGCAGGCTGCTGATGCTGCCGGCGCTCTGCCGCTTGTCCTGCTCATCGGGCGACGGCTCGCCGCCCTGCGCCGGCTCGGCCGCCTCCCCCGTCGCCGCTAGCCGCCTCGGGCCCCGCCGCTGCCCCGGCGCCGGTCCTCTCCAGCCAGCGCTCCACCCTGTCGGCCTTCTCGGCGCCAGACGGCCGCGGAGGCTCCGCCTCCTCGGCCCTCACGCCGTTCTTGTCGGGCTTCTTGAGCAGCGCGCGGAAGTCGGTGCGCTCGGACGCCGGCCCGGCCGGCCGCTCCACTTTCTCGCGCGTCTTGCGCAGCCCGAAACGCAGGCTCGCCGTGCCGTCGGCAGCGCGCGCCGGCGCCTCGCCGTTGCGCTCGCCGCCGCCGCGGCTGCGGCCCGTCTTGCGCAGCACCGACTTGAAGCTAGTCACCGCCTCGTCCGTCTGTGAGCCCTCGGTCGACTTGGCCACCTTGCGCAGCTGCGGCCGGAACGAGTGCAGTTTGGTTTCTGAGCGCGCCCACTCGGCCCGGTGGGTGCCGGCCGGCTCGGCGTCGGCCGGCAGGGGCGCGCGTGCCTCCTCCGCCTCGGCGCCGTTCTCGCGCTGCTTCTGCTGGATCTCCGAGACCAGCTGGGCACTGATGGAGGCGGCCAGCGCGGCCGGCTTCGGAGCGGCAGGCGGTGGGGGCGGCGGCTGCGGCCGCGGGCGCTGCCCGGTGCCCAGCCGCGTCACCAGGTCGTCACTGCGCTTGGCTCGCTCCGAAAGGTTGGAGTACTCGGCGCGCCGCTGAGAGCGCGGGCTGGGCACGGGCCGGCCCTGGCCGACGGCCGGGCCCGGCGGCTGACTGAAGCTCTGCATCACCGAGCCGCCTGCCAGTTGCTTCTTCAGATTGGGCGGCGGCGGCGGGAAGTCCGGGTCGATGATGAAGTCGTCGTCGATGTCGTCGGGCGGCGGCAGCTCGGCCGGTGGTGGCGGGAACTCCAGCTCGGCCGGCTTGCGCTTCTGCTGGCCGGGCGACGGCCGGCGCCGCTCGGACGGCGGCTCGGCGCCCGCCGCGCCGGCCGCCGGCGCCGCGAACACGCGCGGACTGAGCCGCGACAGGCGCGGGCTCTGGAAGCCGCTGTTGGACGAGTTGGAGCGCACCATGGCGGACGGCTTGCGCGCGCCGGCCGCTGGCTGGCACCGCACGCCCTCGGCATCAGTATGGCTACGAGGCGCGCGGGCCTCGCCGCCTCCACCATTGCCGGCAGCGTCCGACGACGCGGCGGCGGCGGCAGCAGCGGCGGCCGCCTCGCCGCCGTCCGCGGGCTGCCGCAGCCCACTCTGCCGCAGCGACTCGAGAAAAGCGCCAATGCGCGCGCCCTTGGGCAGCGTGCCGTACCGCTTGATGGACTCGTTGACGTGATGCTCCTCGAGCGGCGCCACCTGGACGGGCTTGCGCGGCGCCTGCGCCGGCGCCGGGAACGTCTTGGCGCGCTTGGCGCGGTCGGGCGCCGGCGGATGGCGGCCGGCGGCCAGGTGCGAGGGTGTGGAGCGGGACGAGCGCGCCGACTCCTCCGTCTCCGGCGTGCGCTGCTCGGCCGCGTCTGATGCCTCCGAGCCGCCGTCCGAGTCGTCCTCGCCCTGTGACGCGCCCATCTCCTCCGTGTACGAGCTGTCCCGGAACGAGCTGCCGACAGCGGGGCCAAAGGTCAAGCGCGCCATTGTGGCGGACGGATGGGGACAGCGACTGCGGCCTCACCGCGATTCAAATCACATCTCACACAAATACCACGAGCTCCGCCACACCAGCCACCACAAGCCGTCACCGGTCGCCCTCCACCGCGCGGCGCGGCCCGAGTCCGGTCGGCATGCAAACGCGACTACTGACGCAGTGTAGGGGCGCCTGGCTGTGTCGGCGCTGGGCCCAGCCGCCCACCTGGTGCGCTTGGGCGGCGCCGGCGCCTGCTTGCGGTTGGAGGCACGCCGCAGCTGGACCACGGTCGACTTGGCTGAGACGGGACCCGAGGCGAGAGCGTCCACCAGCGGCGCCTCGTCTGCGGCACGGGGGCGCACGGGTCGGTCAGACTCGCGGTCCGGGCGCACCGATGTGCGAGGCACGACAGGTCGGCGGCGGTCCGGAGGGCGGATGGACGGCTGCCGCCGACAGCGTCTGCTGGCGCGCAGACGGTCGCCTGCGGTCCAGCCACCGCACCTCGTGTTCCCGGACAGTGCAGGCCTTCCGCGACACGACAACCGCACACCGCGATACAGCACATTCACCGCTTTGCGTCATGACAGTCGGCACGCGCACGCCGCCAGCTTTTGAGCAACATCAGGAGCGAGGAGCGAGGGTAGAGGGTCGACGCCGGGAGGGCGTGGCCGCCTCTCACCGGCGCGCCGCGGGCTGGCAGCGCCCTCCTCCCGGCTGCACTTGATGGCGGGCAGCGGGGCGGCGGCGGCTGCCGGCGGCGGCGGCGGCGGGGCTCGGGCTTGCCGCGGCTCCGCTCCGGCTCCGGCTGGCCCTCGTGCCGCTTCAGCTGCTGCTCCACCTCTGTCGGCGCCAGGCGGACCGTCAGCCTGACTCCGCGGCCAACCGGCCGGTGCGGGGAGCAGCCCGGGCCGTCATCCGGCAGCGCGCGGCATGGCGCCGGCGCCTCTGTTTTCAGGAGGGACAACGGCTACAAACAGCGGTCGGTAGCGAGCATTCTGCCCAGAGAACAGTTCAATGTATGTCTCCAGTCCGGACCTCACGATTGTGTATGGATATACTCAGATCAACACCCAAGGCTGTTATCAGCAAGTACTGCGGCGTTCCTGAAACGTGGTGCAACGCGCTCCCGCTACTGGTTTTAATCTCGGCGTTCAAGATGTTATATCACACTCGCCGAAGCACCACTGGTCAAGATTTGGCCGGCTCGAAAACCCAACCAGCGGACCGTGTCACGGGCCAGATGCGATGCCGGAGCGTATTCTTACAACTCACGATGGTACATTGCCCAGTCAGCACGACACCGCTTTTATTTCCGGCTATCGTAGAAAACAGGCGTGCGAATTCCCTTGAAAACTGAAGGTATTCGGCGAGAGCTATAATCACAAAAATAACTTTAAGCTCGTGCTTTTTCTGCCTTGTGAGCTGTGAGTTATGCTAAAAATAACCAACGCTCGCCTACTACAAGGTCGGTTATTCGCAGCATGAGGCTCACTGCCACATTCACGGCCAACAGCACAGCCAGAAACGTAGGGTATTATCATACCTCCCAATGAAATCGACGCCTCCGTTTATCCGGCGCCTCATGGTGCATTGCACATCCGTTATTGCCAGCACAAAACGCCCCCCTTTGGGAGGTGACGTCAGTGAGGGGC